GATTTATTGGTGATCAATATAAAAATATTTAATTTCTTTTACTAAATTGGGGACTAGTTTTTTCTATCTGCATCGAACTCCGCTGCTTGTTTCCAAGTATTTGTGTGAGAGCGAGAGAGAAGAGCACAACAAATAATTATAAATTAAATAATTATACAACACAAGCAAGAAAACAGCTTTGCAACTGATTGTGGCTGCCGTCGCTGCTGTTTCTCCTACCTGCATTCGCCGCTTTTGCTGCTTTTGCTGCTCGTGCAGTGGAACACCTGTAAAGCAAAGGCAGCTCTATCTGCAACAAAAGCTGCAACTATAGCAACCTTAGCCGATGCTTATGTCGTGCTCTAGAGCGGATGCAGCTTTAGATATAGCCATCAGAGCCCCAAAGCTCTGACCATATAGCATATACTATACACAGTGATCGCTCTCGAAACTCAACTTCGGAATACAATTAAAATTAATAGCGACAATACACCAAAAACAAAGACAGCAGAACGTTATTTTATATTCTTTATTAGGTTTTATTGATCTACGAGACAGATGAAAAAGAACATTGATTGTAATGGAACCTGAATCTCTGACAATTATATTTTTTAGTATTTTTAAATGATATTTTAAAATTTACGCTATGTACTTCGTTTCATTATGAACATTTGAGAATTAGTCGAAATAACTACCATAATAAAAACTACGACTTAATGCATTTTATGAATGTATACAAAGTGTATTCAAAAAAATTTAATTTTGTGATTAATTTCTGTCTATAACTAAATGAAAATTTCTGTTCAGTTTTTACCCTTGAAAGAAGAAAATTAAAAAAAAAACACCCAAAACTTTACTACTAAGTTCTTTGAAAAAAATTACCCGTAATTCGCTAATTAACCAAAAACCACTGTAATTTAAAGTGAACCAGAAAAACAACAGAATTTTCTTATAAACTTTAAAACACCGAAAAACTTGTTCGACAAAATTGCAATTACAAACTAAAGTTTCTCAGAAGCAGACAAAAAACACAGAATAATAAAAACAAAAAAATAGAAGGAAAAACAAGTTGAAACTGTTCTAGTCACTGGCAACACAGCAGCGGCAGCAGAAACAACTAGAAAAGCCACAAACACTAATAGTTGCTAAATAACACAAATATTCAGCTTTTAGCATTCAGTTGTTCTTTTCGAGCTGTGCGCTTGAGATTAGTATTTTTTATGTTTTTTTCTGTATTTTGTTCGTATTTTGTGAGTGGGCTCCGGCAGCATTCTAAGCGATTGTGATTGAGAACTCCCCTGAAGCGTTTATATTCTCGCATATTGGCAGTAGGCGACTTGTTTTGGCCAATAATTCCATGACTTGTTCCAAGGCTGGGCCCCGTGAGTCGTGAGATTAAGCGAAATTCGTTTGTTTGAACAGCTTTTTACCCGATTCATTCGGTTCTTATGGATGGCATATATAGCATACGTACATATGGTTATGACGAAACAGAAACCAAAAACCAGAGACAGTCGCAAGTGTTGTCACAATTGTAACAGAGATGTCTTGGGATCGTTTTCAAGCTCTTGAGGCTCTCGAAAAAGGTTCTTGAACTTTACGACAAAATATATTAAAAGAAGAAAGAAAGTGTGGGGGCTTTTTAGCCGCGATTTCCATACATACATATTTATAGCCATATAGAGATCTTGATCTTGGGACAATAACACTTTTTATATGTTTGTATTTTTGTATATTTCCCTTTCTATGCATTGTTTTCGGTGCGAATTCTCACGCACTTTGCACATAAATTTTCATATGATTTATGATCACGCGGCCTTTGCCTTTGTGTGCAAAGTGGATCAGGTCAGTAGATTGCTAATCAGCTAATCAGATCGTGGGTGATTGTTTCTAGTAAAAATAAAAAAAACAAAAACCTAGGCCCACTGCCAGATCGCACTTTCCCAAGGCACGTTTTCGAGGTCTCATGTGTGTCTGGATCATTTCGGAATATATCGGAATATATATACCTGTCTGCTTCGGTGCCAAATCGATGTTGTTATGCCCGATGTCTGCGTGTCTGACATATTCAATTTGAATATTGTTTATTCGCCAGTCCCGGGCTTCCACTCTCTCTGCTGTTTAGCTGTTTCGCTTTTTTCCTCATTCATTTTTTCTAGTCTGCAGTTGACAACTTGCGACTTTTACTTGCGACCGACGATCAACGGATCGGCAATCGACGCTGACCCAAAAAGCAGAACAGCCGCAAAGTTGATTGAATGCGATTGCAAACTGCGACTCTCTCATTGAGGCTTTAATAAACAAAAACGGTTCTGTTTTTGCAAGTGTCATTCTGCACCACCCAGTGCCTAAAGCAATATGTGGGGTATGATGGGCTATAAGTCCTCCAAGATGATAGTACTTTTATACCCAAAGAAGCCCAGCTTATCGTTATATTTTTCTTTTTATAAAATTATATTTAATTTCAAGTAAAAGCGATTCCCATTTTATCTAAACTTAGATAATATCCTATATATATACATAAATATAGTCGAACGGCTAATCTTTAAATTAAGATCTACATTTTAAACTTTGAAAGATCACTGGTTTCAATGATTGATGCTTCTAACATACCTCGTGTATCTAATGAGACATATTTACCAAATTGAACATTTAAATAGCTGCTGACTTAGTTGGAATTTGAAATTGCTTCCAATTAAAATGTTTCGACATCTAACTAAAATCCACAACGACCCATATATGTCAGCTTAATTAATTCCATAACTATCCTTACTTGACAAGTGATTCATGTGCAAAAGGTGAATCAGTGCAGTTGAAATAAAGTTGTTGGTGTGCTAGAAAAAAAAGCACATTTTCAAAATTTATTTTCTTGGGTATTTAACAGTCTTGAAATGTTTTCCAAAAAAGTAAGCTCAGAATGATCTGTGAATTCTCTGCTGCTGCTCTCCTTTTCTCATTTTCTCTCTGTCACACTGGCTTTCTAACCCCGTCAATTGCCAGTCATAAACCGTATTCTATGAATTGTTTTTACGACAAGCGCGCTTTTTGAAGGGCATTCTCAATAGTTGACGTTCCGAAACGCTCGCTCCACACGGGGCGTATACGCAATATACGTGAACAATAAAATTGTGGCTTGGCTTTGGCTAAAGGAAATGTCACGGTGAACAAATTGCAATTATTATCGAACAAAATGCTTTATCTTAGGCTCTATCCACAACGCTGACTCTGAATTGTGACAAAAATAGAAATAAAACGAAACAAAAAGAATGTAGCCGCGCTACGCGACACATGGAATTCCAAAACTAAACCAAAGATAAAATGGCAAAGAATGATGCGAAGCTGCTCGTAAATAAATCAATAAACCCAATCAAAAAATCCAACATCGAAACGACAAAGAAAACAAATCAATTTGCAAATGAATAATCGAAAGTAACCATAACCAAACAAAGCGAAAAGAATAGCTAACACAAAAGGGGAAATTCCAATAATAATAATAAAAATACAATTGCATGACGGTGAAGGCGAAAGTCAAAGACAACGCCCCGCTCCTCTTGACCCCCCGAAACGTATGAAGAGTAGCCGAAACCACAATGTCCAGGTGTGACAACCACAAGTCCCGCCGCCAACAGCTGCCCGTTCCGGCGCCCCTGTCCTCCAACTCCTCGTCCCGCTCGCAAGGACACCATCATCACAACCACAACAACCACCACATCCACTCGAGCAACTCGGATCTGGGTGGAAGTGAGTCCTTTCTGCAATATTGCGACAGCGACAGCGAGAAGAGGCCACCGCCCATTGTGGTGGTCGTGGGCGATGGGCGGAGCCGAGTGCGGCGGGTGGTGCGCACCGCCACCAGGCACGTCACCGTGGTCAGCCTGTCCACCCGGCACAAGGAGACCCAGACGCACACCTCGCACCATGTGACGGCTGTCAGGTAAGCAAGCGCCACGCCGCGAGATCCGAATTCCGATTTCGATCCAGCTGGGCAGAGGCACTTAGAGAAAAAGCGTATGATAAATGCATTTAATTTTTTGTAAAATTGAATGTAGGAAAAAACTTGTTTGCAAACTATGCCGTAATTTTGTAAAGAAATCAAAAATCTGAATATAAATATGTAAAAAAGGTTTATTGCTATCACGATTTGAATATATATTTAATTTTGTAATTAGTTGGATTGTAATTGTATATAGGAAAATATTTTTGAGATATTAATATATGCTAGAAATCATCTGTAAACCTATTTAAAATTGTTTAACAATTTTAAAATATGGTTTCTAAAAGGCAGTTATTTTGGATTATTTATTAACTAATTTTAGGAAACCTACACAGTGGGGTACTTTAAATATTTGCTTAAATGCTTATATTATATACTTTTTGCTTTCAACATTGTTTCTTAACTTTCTAAAAAAAAACCTTAATAATAATTGTTTTAAGTGCTCCGCTTATCGCGCCCATTCGTTATTATCCGTTATCTTTATGGGACCCCGACATTGTTCTTGGGCCTGCAGCCGTTTTATGGGCTGACTATTCTTGGCCCAGCCAGCAAAAGATAAACCCCCACTCACTTATTTATTAATACGCAGGGTATCGGAGTGAACTGTAAATATTTATTGCGGGATGCTTGAGTCTTGGAATTTTGTTAAATTCCTAAATATCCGTTTAACTTCAAGGGAAAGGAATTTGCTTACAATTGATTGTACAAATAAAAATTATTATAACAATCAAAAGTTCTAGGAAAACCTTTAAATTTAATACTGGTATTTATAATATAAACTCAGGTTTGGTTTGAAACTTGTCTAAATTGAGATGTGGATTTTATGTGGACGCTAAGATCATAAGCTTGGTCATTTTACATAGCATAAAATGTAGCATATCTTGAGGCGTAAATCTTATGTAAATAGATAAACGTAAAATACATGCATTCCACAGGTAAAAAAATATGAAATCGGTTTAAGGAAGGGTAAAAATTAAGTGAAAATCAAATAAAACAAAATAGGTTCATTAAAAAATAGTAAAATAAATGTATTTTCTAAAATAACATGGGAAACTTGATGCTGTTTATAATAAACAAGTAAAACCAGCCATTACAAAACTTTAAGAATCATTTCTTCTTGAACTTAATGTCAATTTCTAGTTAGTTTTGGCAAAAAATTTGTTAAAATTCGTTTTTTGTCACTTGCATTGTTGAACGAAAAAACCTAAAAAGCAGTATGGAACCAACTATTCTGCACAACCTGCAAAAGGTTGAACAGTTCAAGTCTTTCGATCTCACGTATTTCCTCATAATCTACGCCATCGTTGTCCTAATGGTTCTGGGTATTCCTCTGGCGTTTCTATTGCAAAACAAGGGATCGCCCTTCGAAAGGAATCGTTATCGATTGGAAGCCAATCGTTTGGAGGAGGATACGATGGGAAGAAGCGAAGCCCGCCGACGAATCCGGGACTCGAGCGCCTAATAAGCTTTTAATATTGATGTTGATATTCATGGAAATACATTGAATGCGAGACAGCGGTCTGTTTGTAGTTTTTCCCAGCCCCCTAACCCCCAACCCCAAGTGTCTGGCCCGCTTGTGGCACACTCCATAAGCGTTAAGCCCCCTTTCAAAATGCACATAAAAAACCCGAGAAATCTAATGTAAAATCAATAATAATTACGGCGAGTAGGCCATCGGCGGTTGGGTCACGTCAACCGATTTGGACACTTGTTGCATACGAAAACAGGAGGAAGTCCGCTGCAGTTTTGGCTCGCGAGCGTCGACGGCCAAGTGTCAGCTGAGATACAAGATACATGAAACGAGATACGAGATACTCAGATACAGATACACAGATACTTGCCTGCTTTCGGATGGTCAAACAGACGGACGGACTTGAAAATTGAAGCCCCAACATGTGCAACGTGCAACGGCAAACAATTCGGGCGACGTGTGGCAGATGTTTTTCCTTCTCGCAAGCAGGACTCTTAAAAAATCAGAGGGATGCGAGGAGGAGAAGTGGCTACAATAACAGGCAAAACTACCTGCCGTTGTTGTCCTTTCGAAAATGTTGAAGAAACCCAAACAAAGCCACGCCAGGTGCAGCTGGAAAACTGGCCAAAAAGAGTGGAAAAAAGAATAGGCAACAAGGATGCCCCTTTCAATTTTCTGTTTTCGTTATCCTTCGGCAATCCTGCTGATCCTGTTTTTGCTTTTTTCAATAGGTGCAAATATGCAGCTGCCCTCGAATGTTTTGGAATGCCGATATTCTGGGTTGGTCCCGCTGCGAGAAGATTTCTGGTAGTCATTCAAATTGCATACGTACATAATGAATTATCTGAATTTCGGGTTCTTCTAGCAAATCGAATTATGATTTCAGGGTAATCTATCTCGTCTTTTAGCTAAGGGAAAATCAATTAAGTGTTAAGGTGGAGAGATTAACAAGAGAGCGATGTCCTATGGGGTTGGAAAAGATTTTATAAATCTATTTTTAAGGCATAACAAATGGAAAAGGATATGAATTTTTTTAAAGTCGTATATTATAGTTCCAAAAAGCTTAAAAACTAAATAACTTATTGACTTTATTCTACAATAAATCTTAAAATACTGTACATTCCCAAAATTATACATTCAGTATATGTCCTTCCATCTCTTATTTCTCTTTTTTGTTAATTATATTTTTTATAATTATATTTTTTTTTAGTCCTTTCATCTGTTGCTTTTTCTGCAATCTATCCCTAAGAAAAGTCACCCTCCCAGATATATCACTGCCAAAAATCTCCTCTATTAACCCCCCAATTGTCGAGAGTCCCTGTGCCGATCAATAAGTTTGTCATCGTGGGCTAATCATTTCCTTCACTTTCCTCGCAACATATGGCACTTCTCTCTTTATCTCTATCCTCCATTCTACCTGTCCTTCTATCTCTTTTCAATAATGGATCCTTTTACGCTTAGGATTTCTATATATTTTATCCGCTTTCTTTGTGTTAGGGGTAGTACAATTGTTCTTTTTTTTCGGGTAACCCGACGAGGGCCAAAGAAAACAGATGCATTTTGTGTGGGATTCATCGTATATGTGTGGGTCGATAACTCACACGCACACGAATTTAATGAGCCATGCGAAACACGTTTCTGGAGGAAGTGAGAAGGGTAGAAAGAGAGTGAAAGAGACAGAGGGTCCGCCGCCGACGCGCTTGCGCAGTTTGGTTCTTCTTGTGGATCGTCGATCACCTTGTCGAGCGGTCGTCGAATGCTCGGTTTAGTTCAAACGCGAACATCGCCGGGATCGGACGTTATATCCCACAATATCCATATATATATAGTCTTCCGCCGGTTTTTAGTGCTTCCTCCCCAACCGACCGACATTTAATTTGAATATCATTGTAAACCGATCGCGAGTCGCGTATTAATTAACAATCTAGCGGCGATCTTGTGATTCTCTCAGTCTATATAACTGTGCCTCAAATGGGTCTCTGAAAAAAGACCACACCACACCACCGCCTAGTGCATAAATCTTGAGCGTTTTGTGATATTCTCTTCAACATGATCATTTGCATATCGGGTTTTATAATTGGCGAAAGGTAGGAACCCCTTTGCCTGACCCAGAAAACGAAAGTTCTCTTATCTTCTACATTAGATAAACAAAAAACAAGGCTTGGTCATGATATTGATATCAAAATTGGAAATTCCTGAGAGAAGCCATTATTTATATGAAATTTGGAAGGCCTACTTTAAATTATGACAATTTCTATAAATATTTCACATTTTGATAAAATAAATAGTCATAAATATAAATAAATAAAACGATTTAAAAAATACTCTAACAAAATTAGATTAAATATTAATTAAAAATTGCAGATCTCCACAAAATAGTCATAAATAATAATATAAAAAAACAATTTATAAATAAACTAACAAATTTTAATTAAAGACCAATCATTGCTAATTCAAGAGCAATACTTGTCTTTCAATTGATTGGTTGATAGCGATATTGATATTATTTCGAATATGTATACAATTTTTCGAGGGTAGGAAATATAATAGACTCTTTAGACTTTCCGATAGCAACAGTTTATTAACCAGTCACCTCTTTTTCCCTCCACTTGCAGCTTTCCCCAGAAGAGCCTGGAGCGGAGCGGTTCCACCCAGTACGAACTGGCTGGGGCGCAACAGCCGGGATCCGCCAATGCCTCCTCCACCTGCACAGATGGCGGCAGTGTGGGCGGCTATGTCTACCTGCAGAACCACTACGCCCCCGGCGCCCACAGCTCCTCCTCGGCCGCCATCAACTATCCTGCGCAACAGCATCCCCAGATGGTCTACCAAATCCAGCAGTATCCCACGTGCCATCAGCAGCAGCAGCAACAGCACCTCCAGCAGCAGCATTTGCACCAGAACTCCGCCGGTGGTCACTACATGCAGGTGACGGCGACGGGCGGCGGTGCCCAGTATCACCATCATCACATGCTCCACGGCCACGGCCATCATGCCCATCATCATGGTCACGGCGGAGCGGTGGTCATCGCCGGCAGCGGAGTGGGCACTGGCCTGGGATCCGGAGCCACCAGTGTGATCATGCAGCACCAGCAGCAGCAGCAGCAGCAACAGAATATGCACAAGAAGAACTCCATCCGGAACAACGGAGATGTCCTCAAGCGAACGCGAGCTCAGTCAGCGTAAGTGTTTCTGAGAGTCAGGGGATGTTGACATTTAGGGAAGATTAGGGGGAGTGTGCCGGGATGTTATGTGCAGTCTTAAGTGTATACTTTTCAGGGGGCCAAAGGAAGATTTCCGGGAAGCATTCGTTATCGCAATGTGTAGTTTGGAGGGCAAGTTCTATCAAAATGTGTACTTTAGAAGGAGATTATGGGAGGCATAGCTATAAAGTAATGAAAAACAGATGGTTTTAAATTTGTATAATATTAGATGATCAACGCTGAGAATATTAATTTTAATTTACAGATAGATTTTTAAAATACCGTTTTCTAATTTTCCTTAAATACAACTCATCCTTTTTGTTTATCATGGTTAACCGCAACAGTATTAAAAATATAAAAATTTTATTTTTAGACAAAGATTGCTTATACCTCAATATTCTTTTTCTGGAAACTGACTTCAAAGTTGATTAGCTATTTCAATCTAATTTATTTAATCAGATATGTGAATTTATCAGTTCTTGGCTATATGTCTAGAAAATCAGCAATAAATTATTCATCACCTGAGCTTATTCACAGTCAATTTCTTATCAGAAGAAAGAATTCTCATGATTAAAAAAATATTCGTTATCTGAAAAATGCGTTGTATACAAACAAAAAACGAATGGCAATGCTTAGTTTTGATTTCTGTGCTTAAATTTGCCTAACATTGAACTTACGAGTGATACTCCTTTTTTTTAAGAGTGACAGATTCTTTGTGAACATTAATTGCCTACTTAAGGCATTTCATCAGTTTTTGTGTAAACAATCCATCAAGCTGAAGGGTAGCAACAGAAGCTCATCGTCGCTTATCTAATTAGTTATCTGTAAAAGTAAAAGTGTGCCTGGTGGGATTGACCATTCGTCAGCCAAATGGGTTCGGACTTTGACTTGAAAATTATCATCAGCTAGCTGGGATATACAGGTGGTATCTTAGATAAGACAGCGCGACGTTAAGGTAAATATTTGTCCTACTGCAGTAAAACATCTGATGTGCTGGCAAATATTATTAAGAGAGGGGACTATTATGCAGCTGCCTTGGAAAATTCTTAGGAGGAAATTAGGATGTAAGTTTGCAATTTCAGGGAATTTCCCAGAATAGTAGTAACTTTATAGGGCCCTGCTGACTAATTTCAACTGTCTGCAGACGGAGTATCAATCGAAATAAACGATTGCTTGTAGCAATAATAAAATTGCCGCCCCATTCGAGGGGCGAATGTTAATCAGGTCGATAGCCCAGAGGGGCGACAGTGACGACGCCAGAGAATTGTATTTCAAAGATACTCGTACTCGTTCTCGTACTCGTGCGCTATCTTATCGGGCGGGGCGAAAAAAACATTCGGTCTCCGGCGTAGACTTTTGTCAGTTATTTGCAAATTTCCAACCAAGCAAAAGCAGAGCGCTCTTACCACTCCAACACACCGGATACCCAAGAGATACTTACCGGATATATATCTCATTCTTCTACCCCAATCTAGCTACGAACTCTCACAAGATCTGCTGGAGAAACAGATCGAGCTGCTGGAGCGCAAGTACGGCGGAGTTCGGGCCCGCAACGCAGCGGTCACTATTCAGCGCGCCTTCCGTCACTACATGATGGTCAAGAAGTTCGCCTCGATCACCGCAATGGCCAAGGCGGAGAAGCGCCTCAGCCGAAGGATGGTGGTGACGGCCAGTAGTTTGGGCCTGGCGGAGGAGGGAGCTTCCTCCTCTTCGGCCTACGGCAGTGCCACGGAATCTCAGCTCACCGAGCAGCAGCAGCAACAGTTGGCGGCGGCCCAGCAGCAGCAGCAACAACAGCAGCAGCAGCAGCCACGTGTCACCATCATGGCGGGTCCGGCGGGA